GGTGCATGCATTTCCGCCGACCTCGGAAGGCTACGCCGATGCGATGCTCAAGGTGTTTTTGAAGGAGGACGGCGCGTCGATGGGCCGCCGCCGCGCAACGCGCTTTTCGATGCTGCCGCTCTCGCGCCGCATGGACAAGCTCATTGACGCGGCCAAGACGCGCTCGACCGAGCCGTGCAAGCTCTGTGCCCGCGTCGACCACGAGACGGACCACCACCGGTGCCGGTACTGCACGCGGCGCGGGGACCACCGCGGCGACGCGTGCCCGTACCGCGCCGAGGGCTGCGTGCTCTGCGGCAGCAAGCGCCACGCGACGGGCGAGCACCGCTGCAGCGTCTGCGCGCAGTATGGCCACCGCGGCCGCGACTGCCACCAGCAAAGCACGGTCGGCACGCTCGAGATGCTCGCGTACTTTCGCTTCCACGATTTTTTGTACTACAACAACAACCTCAAAAAGTCGGTCGAGTTTTCGACGGGCTGAGTTGCGGTATCAAATTATGGCAAAGACCGAACACAGGAACTGTGGAATGGATGGTTGAACACCCTGTCGTTGTACGTCACAACATAGGGTCGCTATTACCACCTTTAGCGTCGTACTTTTTTCCGAGTACAACGGGTCCGTCGACATCACCCTTCTCACCACGCTACCCAAGGCTTTCGTCTTTCACTACTTGATTGGCACCATAACCGATACTACTACTTGGTTCTTCGGGAGTAGGTCGTTGGTAGGAGCACAACTTGTGTGACGACCAGTCACTGGGAAGATCGAGAGAATACGAATAGATTGAATAGTGACTTTCAACGCAGGCGCCAGACGTTCTCGCGTCGATTGTGAAGTTTAAAGAGCAGAATTCCAGAAGAAAAGGGAAGAAACACAAGCCAGGACGACGATGTTTCCGACCAACACCATAGACGACAACTGCGCCAGGCGGGTCTCTGGCCGTTGAAGTTCAAGTCGAAGCGCACGCCGCCACCATTCACTCAGCTTGCAGGCCACCTCTCGGCACCTCAAGAATCTCTAGTCACATACAACGATGTTGCATTGTAAGCGACTGCATCCCTTCCACGCTCCTGTCAATCGACCTCTCGTCCCGCTATCAAATACGTCAAAAGCAGGCGATCGCTGGACAGGTCGACGGTCGCAAAAGCTTGATCCGGCTCCGTGGCACTGGATCGTGTCTCTGGGAGGCTTTCCTGCGGCGGAGCCAGTCTTCTGACCGGTTGGCGCTCGAGGTGATGCAATCGCGCTCGAGACATTTGAGCCGTCACACTGCGACTCGCATCTTATCGCTCTTGACACAAAATGCTCCTCTCGCGACGCGTCGTCAGGAGCTGCTTTGCTTTTCCTGCGCGGGTGCGTCGCCGCCGTCGGATCCAAACACTATCTATATTTTCATTTATTGCTACAAGGGCTCATACGGCACCCGGGGTCATCGCGACGCGAAAGCAGATGTTCTCAATGTCGTTGGGACCAACGCACTCGTCGATCGTCATGGTGTCGTCCAGCACCAGCGCGTCGTCGTCGCCGTCGAGCGTCACATACAAGTACGAGAGTGGCATCTCGAGGTTGTACTCGGCGTGGATGAACCGCTTGAGCTTGTACACCTTCATTTTGAGCCGCATGTTGCACAGCATCGGCGGAAGCGTGCCGAACCGAACGGGCACGTCAACGCGCAATGATCGGGGCGCGTGTTTGCCCAAGAGCGCCGTGTCCCAGCGCGCAAATTTCTTGATCGTACTGTGGATCTTGACCTACGTATCAAGAAGCATCGATCACGAAGCATCTCTCAAGTGAAGGCGGACCGTAATGTCAGGGCGCGTCCGGCCCTTTAGAAGCCCCATGGCTTGCCCAATGTCCAAGATCGCAGCAAAGCTGTGGCCGAGTTCTTGGTACGCCATGTGCAGATACTCGAGCTCGGCGGGCGTGTACGGTTTGTGCTTGCGGGGAATCTCGGGCGTCTCCTTCGCGCGGCGCTTGGCGGCCGCCGACATGCGAACCCCCTTGCGCGCAAGCCGACTAAACTTGTGCTAATGGGCATCCAATGCATGGCCGAGTCCTTCGGACGCCTGTGAGGGGTCGTACCCGTAGCTTGTTTGTCGTGCGACAGGGCAGCAGACGTCCGCATGCGCGGCCTTCTTGGAGGATATAGGCCCACTGCGGCCCGTACTCGAGCGCCATCTCGATGAGGTACTTGAGTTCGTCGGGCGTAAAGGGCGGTCTAAACAGGCGAGAATAGGAGGACACACAGAACGACGGAAGAGGCCTACGAGCGG